GCTGCTGGCTTGTCTTCCTCCTTCAGCCAGGCTGAGCCGGAAAAGCTGAGCTGCTGCTGTCGGGCAAGATAACACGTCGACTCCTCTTTCCTTTGCCCGCCACCGTGGGGCTGCGTCCCCATAGTTGGGCAGCGTGAGCAGGAGAGAGCAGCTGGATCTCGGGGGAGGAGGGAGCTGTATTGGGAGGAAGACAGGAAATTGGGGGGTGGGGAGTTCTCACTGCCCAAGGAAAGACATTTTTCCCCCTCCCCCATGCCCTGTCTGACCTGGCTGCTTCTGGACTTCTGCACCCTGCCACCTCTTGGGTGTTGAGAGCCAGGAGGCTGGGAAGGACTAGCCATGCCGTGTGTCCCGTGGCCGCACCTTTCAGTGCCTGGCTGGCCGGACCCCTGTGTGCTGGCCAGGTACTGGGGTTTGCAGGGGAGCTAGAGGGCCCCGGAGCAGTCGGGCTGCAGAAATCCCTGGCAATGCTGCATGCTTGTGCCAAGGGGACTCAGACCCTGTTTGGCTCAGCTCGTCTGGGCCGTGCTCCAGGCTGGGAAGGAGGAGCCCGCCCCTGCTCTGCGCTGCTTGTGAAATGCCTTCGGCTCTGCATCCGCCTCAGCTTTGCTCCTTGGTGTGGTTTCCTCCTCCTCCCCAGCCAGGGGCGAGCAAGGGGGGCACGGCCCTGGGGGAGGAGCAGCTGCCAGCCTGCTTTGTTCCAGCCAACCCTCCGCTCAGAACGCAGCAGGAGCCGGGCTGCCTGTGGAGGGGGAGCGCAGGCGGGAGCCGGAGGCGAGGGTTGTGACGTCCGTGGGCAGCCGTGGCAGGATTCCACTCCTCGCTGCCAGGCGTGCTGCAGTCACGCCACTGTGTCCTGGCGCCCGCCGCGGCGCTCGAACCCACGTTCCGAACGCTTGAGCCAACGGAGAGGCTGTATGAGCTGCTGGTAGCAGAGGGCAGAGTGGCCTGATTCCTTCCTGCAAGACCAGTGACTTGCACATAGAATCATAGAATCATAGAATCATAGGACTGGAAGGGACCTCGAGAGGTCATCGAGTCCAGCCCCCCGCCCTCAAGGCAGGATCAAGCTCCGTCTACACCATCCCTGACAGATGTCTATCTAACCTGTTCTTAAATATCTCCAGAGAGGGAGATTCCACCACCTCCCTTGGCAATTTATTCCAATATTTGACCACCCTGACAGTTAGGAATTTTTTCCTAATGTCCAATCTAAACCTCCCCTGCTGCACTTTAAGCCCATTACTCCTTGTCCTGTCCTCAGAAACCAAGAGGAACAAATTTTCGCCTTCCTCCTTGTGACACCCTTTTAGATATTTGAAAACCGCTATCATGTCCCCCCTTAATCTTCTTTTTTCCAAACTAAACAAGCCCAGTTCATGAAGCCTGGCTTCATAGGTCATGTTCTCTAGACCTTTAATCATTCTTGTCGCTCTTCTCTGTACCCTTTCCAATTTCTCCACATCTTTCTTGAAATGTGGCGCCCAGAACTGGACACAGTACTCCAGCTGAGGCCTAACTAGTGCAGAGTAGACCGGCAGAATGACTTCACGAGTTTTGCTTACAACACACCTGTTGCTACAACCTAGAATCATATTTGCTTTTTTTGCAACAGCATCACACTGTTGACTCATACTCAACTTGTGGTCCACTATGACCCCTAGATCCCTTTCCGCCATGCTCCTTCCTAGACAGTCGCTTCCCATCTTGTATGTATGGAACTGATTGTTCCTTCCTAAGTGGAGCACTTTGCATTTCTCTTTATTAAACCTCATCCTGTTTACCTCTGACCATTTCTCTAACTTGCTAAGGTCATTTTGAATTATGTCCCTATCCTCCAAAGAAGTCGCAACCCCACCCAGTTTGGTATCATCTGCAAACTTAATAAGCGTACTCTCTATCCCAATATCTACATCATTGATGAAGATATTGAACAGTACGGGTCCCAAAACAGACCCTTGCGGAACTCCACTTGTTATCCCTTTCCAGCAGGATTTAGAACCGTTAACAACAACTCTCTGACTACGGTTATCCAGCCAATTATGCACCCACCTTATCGTGGCCCTATCTAAGTTATATTTGCCTAGTTTATCAATAAGAATATCATGCGAGACCGTATCAAATGCCTTACTAAAGTCTAGGTATATGACATCCACCGCTTCTCCCTTATCCACAAGGCTCGTTATCTTATCAAAGAAAGCTATCAGATTAGTTTGGCATGACTTGTTCTTCACAAACCCATGCTGGCTATTCCCTATCACTTTATTACTTTCCAAGTGTTTGCATACGATTTCCTTAATTACCTGCTCCATTATCTTCCCTGGGACAGATGTTAAACTGACCGGTCTATAATTTCCTGGGTTGTTCTTATTCCCCTTTTTATAGATGGGCACAATATTTGCCCTTTTCCAGTCTTCTGGAATCTCCCCTGTCTTCGAGTAACCTAGGACTATCCCTGCCTGAGGGGGACGTTTAAGTGACTTGCCCAAGGCTCCGGAATGAGCCGGTGCCAGAGCCAGGCTCAGCCCTTAGGAATGCCTTGCTTCGTGCCTTTGAAGTTGTGAGGATTGGCTCTGTGCTGGTAGGCGAGCTGTTGGCTTCTGGGAGAGCCTCAGGCTCGGCCAGCCTGTTGTGATCGGGCGGCCCGGCAAGGGACGAGCAGCACTTGGCTGACAGTGCTCCTGCATCTGAGGAGCTCTGCTGTGACCGTTCAGCCAGAGGCGGGATGTAGTGTGGACTGCACGGCGAGGACCATTTCCAGGGGGAGGAACCTGGCCTTTGCAGGCTCAGGGCTGGGGGGGTCCAGGCTGAGGCCTCGTGAGGGGAGAGGGGGAGGTGCACCAGTGGTCTCAGCCTGCTGGAGCCGAGACGCCCAGGGGAGATATGGAAAGGGGGGTGAGTGCCGTGAAGGGGGCTACTCCGCTCCCCTGGCTTTTGGGGCTCAAACCTTGTTCCCTCGGTCTCTTCCAGGAGCGCAAGTCCTACAGATGGAAGCAGCTGCTCTTCCTCTTTAACCTCCTCACGTTCCTCTTGGCCGTGTGCGTTTACATCCACCACAACTGGTACTGCGTGGCTGGAGGTAAGGCCTAGCCAGGCCCCCTGGCCCAGCCTTCGAGCAGACGCAGCAGGGGCAGGTTCCTCTTTCCTGCCCTGCCAGCGTGTGTCTGCCCCCTCCTGCTGACCCCTTCTGGATAGGACCTGTTTCCAGCTCCCATTCGGCCCTGGGCATGCTGGGAAGGCTGCCAGCGTTGCTGGGTTTTGCAGCAGGTGTGGCGGCGGAGACACACCTGTGAGATTATGAAGAGAGAATGGCCATCAGCAGCCAACAGCTTCCTGTCCCACCCTGCTGGGCTGGCTCCTCTAGAGCAATGTTTCTTAAACGTTTGAAGACTCGGGAACACCAAACAATAATTTTTTTTATGAGGAACACCAAGGATTTTTTGTTGAGCAAAAAAAAAAAAAAGGTCGAGGGAAAGTTATTGAGCAAAAGAAAAAAAAAGAAAAAAAAAGTTGCCTGCCCCTTTAAGGGTGGCCATTTTGAACTCTGTTGTTGTCCGCGGCACAGCTCCGACTGCCTCGCGGCACACCGGTGTGCTGCAGAACAGTTTAAGAAACACGGCTCTAGAGCATCTTGACACCAAGCTTCTGAGCCCCTTAGTGCCGGAGGGTTGGTCATGCGCTGAGAGAGGCGTGGTCTCACGCGCATTCAGTTCTTTCCTTGCCTCGGCCTCACTTCCTTGGGGAGGGCTTCACACTGGGACTGGGAGACCCTCCTGGCTCTTGTGTGGCCCCTTCCTTTAACCCGCGGCGTGTCCTCCCTTCTCTCCTAGCCTACACCCTCTTTGCTTTCCTGGAGTACCTGGTGGTGCTTTCCAACATGGCTTTCCACATGACCGCCTGGTGGGACTTCGGCAACAAGGAGCTGGTGATCAGCTCGCAGCTGGAAGAAAAACGTTTCTAGGGCGGCCCCGGGCCGGACGAGCGTGTTGCCCGCGCTGCCTCAGGAGTCCTGCGGCTGGCGCGAGCGTTGGGGCCAAAGAGCCTCCAGGAGCGAGGCTGGGTAGGGGGGGCATTGATGTGCCTCGAGAGAAAACCAAAAGCGTTCTTCAGGGAGATGTCGCCAGGACCTCCCGGGGCTACCACGGGAGCGGCCGGGACCCTGTCGGGCTGTGGCAACTGTTCACAACACCTCCACCGAGACAGGAGGGTGGGGCTTGTAGGGGGATGGGCTAGTTTTGCGCAGGTAATACAGCAACCTCGCCATGGATCTGTCAGTGCCAGGAGAGGAGCAGGGAGTGGGAGCCGAGGGGCAGGACCCTGTGGGGCTGATTCTGGGGGAGCTAGGAAGCCTTGTTCTACAAGGGATGGGACCTTCTTTACTTCCCCGCCCAGGCAACGCACCTTTCCCGCCCTGCTGCCTCGCCCTGCTCTGACCGCGGCACCCGGCTCTCTGCAGGAACCAGCACGGATAACGGCCATGGGCTGATTTACAAGGGAGGTTCCCTGCCGGGCCCTGGGATTTGAACAAGAGTTCTCCATTAGGGATGTTAAAAGTAGATGAATCAACTAGTCGATGAGATTTCTATCGACTAGTCAATGAGTCGAGAAGGGCGCTTCCGCTTGGAAATGCAGCAAGAGCCCGCTGGGCAGTTGCTGTGTTCCAGAGGCGGAAGTGCCGGGCGGCAGGGGCTCGCCCCAGCGCGGGTGACGTGGAGCCCGGGGCCAGCGGGAGACTCTCTGAGTCCATGCGGTGCTTCCACTTTGGAATGTACAAGAGCCCCAGCGGGGACTTTTGTACATTTCACAGCTGTAGCACCTGCCCCCTCCCTTGGAGCTGGGGGGAACCAGCTTCTAAGCCAGTTCCCCCCAGCCCCTTCCTCTGCCTCCCCTCCTCACCCGCTGCCTCTTTGTGATAGAGGCAGCACA